CTTTTCCAGCTTCAATACTTACTACAGAACGCGCTGGCGACGCGCCTCCCTTACACGTCCAGCGTTTGTAGCGACAACGGCTACACTTCTTCCATAAGTGCGCTCGCCCTTCCGAAGACTGTGAAGAGGAGCGGCGCGCTGCTGAAAAAGGTCCGATGGGGGCAGTACTCCGCCCATATAATGAAGTGGATTGTGCCCTCAAGAGTTACAAGCTTTGTCGATACCTTATCGATCAAAAACTGTTATACCTCGGACTACACAGAACTTGCACTTCATCTATGACTTGACGGAAGTGGAGATGGTGGCCACGGGCACGGCTTTCGATTTTTGCAGGACTACCACTTTATCCTGACTTTTTTTGGACAAAAAACTCCCAAAAATACGTTCAAGTTGTCGACGCAGGGGATCGGAGAGCTCTTTCGCGAAAACGATCATTACCATCCTGCAAGCACATCTTTACACTGATTTCCATAGCTTTTTCTTGGAAGGTTGTGATAGGCAGTTCAGTGAGAAACTCAAGTTTCAGAATCCAGCAGGGCACCATCATAACTAATTTACCTGAAAACTACCTAGGAAGCCTGGGTCATTACTATTGAATGGATATGAGCACCGTGAAAACTGGTCCTTAGAGAGAGCAGACAGATCCCTAGGGCCCTTCCTGACGGTACCTGGAATTCAAGCTAAATACGGCCTTCTCAATCCCCCTTCAGTGCGGCATCATTCCAGATGTGAAGGATGGAACCTAGGGACCAGTGGTGTATAATGCGCTTGAGCTTAAACAACTGAAAAATGCCCTCCCCAACCTAACCGTGTTTGCCTCCCCTCCATATGACTCCCGTGGGGATCTCTAAGGCACTACGTAAGCTAAGAGGGAAGAAAGAGAGCACGTGACTCTTGAAAATGCGCCATGCACTCGATTCCCATTCAGAATCTGGCATTGGGAGCCCGTGCATAATTTGAAGGATACACGTTGCGCGGAGATAACCAGCCAAACTGCCCTGCTCATTGCCCCCATGCCCTGAGGCGGTAGAGGTGAGGGAACCTTCTCAGGGTTGGAGGGAAAAAAGGTGCTACGGTTGCCTGTTTCCATCTCTACGATCAGCATGGAATCTGTCTATGACCAAAGCTAACGTAGAGGTCCTGTGAGTAAGTACAGATAAATTTTCCTCTGTCTGCATGTAAGCTAGCTGCTTTGGTTGGTTTCTAGCATATTCTGGTCGCTACAGAAGCTTTAAATAACGCATTTCCCCCCTCTCTCTCCCACCCCTCGACTGCTGCTATTATCAGGGTCCGAAATTATCTCCTTAAAGGCCATGGGAACGTCTGGGGACGAGCGGTTACTGATGAAATCATTGGTAGAAGGGCTGAATGGGTTGTGGCTGAACACCCTCTCACACCTTTAGCAACGCTATCAGCAACCGCCCGTTCCAGAGATCGTGCTCATTGCCTTCAATTGCACATTCCGCACTGCTTGTGTGGGCGGAGTCGGCCTACCGTTGTGCGCGTCTCATTGGCGAGCTTCTGGAAAGACCCGTCCGTTGCTCCTTAGAAAGCGGGGCGAGCATCCAGCGGATGAGAGGCACAAACAGGAGCCAGCCCGATCGAGCGTCGAGATGCGCCATTGTAAATTGGTTTTTCAAGATTTCTCAAAGATTACCGTCGCATGGGTGTTCACAACTACCCAGATAAATGTTAGGCATAGGAAGGTCCACCAGTTGTAAGGTAGTAATACGGACAGTACTTGTGCGAAAAGCATGTCAACCAGGTAGAGACTGTCTTGAGACACTTTCTAGAAAACTTTTATTCAAGAATAGTTAGTATTGCTTTTATTCGTAGGGGAGCGAAAGCGGAACCTGTTGCGAACCAAGGACATTTGTTCTTTTCATTCGTTTGGTGCTCTCTGCATTCGAAAGAACGGTGTTCGATCTCTGAAACTGAACCATTCAAGAAAGCAAAGATTACTGTGGATGCGTCAAACTATGGCGAACTGTTGAATGTGCCGTGAATACGTAAGTTGAGATCAAGAAGGCTAAATGAGTGCAAAGGTCGGAATCTATGAATGTTCCCCATTTTGACCGTTCCTCGGCAGTAACACTCGAGAGGCTATTTATAACGAATGATGTAGGAGGCAGGAGTGGAACTTACAAGGGAGGTCGCGCAGGGCGTGCCCCGCTTTTCCAAAATGGTTTCTGCATTTTATAGAGCCTTACGCATGGACCACAAAAGTGTTCTTCATTTTCGCTGAGCAATCTCAGGAATGCCAAAAGGGGAGCGAAAAAGAAATCTATGTAAACCGCTTCCTTTTGGACCTCTATGTACCCTAAATCACTTGCAACTTTCGCCAGTTTCTAAACGGAGGGTCTTTCTAAAGGGACTACCGAGAACAATCACAACCCAAGAAAAATTTTTTGGCTGGAAGTCGTCCATAAGGGTAATCGATGGTCCTGATTACGATTTTGACACTTATTTCGGCGCCGACGCAATTTGGCGCCAGATTCGGCGTTGAACTTCTTATATGAGGTCACATAAACGGACTTACACTCCTTTTTTGGCGTTCCTGGGGCCGCTCAGCGAAAATGAACCCCACTTCTGTGGTCTATGTGCAAGCCCCTACAAAATGCAAAAAAACCATTTTGAAAAAGCGGGGAACGCCCTAAACGACCTTCCTCGTTGGTAGCTATAGAAAGCATAATCTCGGACCCAACGCATCCTGCACACAGGGTGAAATTTCTGCTACAAGTGATAGCCTAAATCTGTGAGCACTGTCCCTGAGCCCCTTTTCGCGATGCGAGGCACAATATAACGCATACACTTTTGTTCGCTGCGGAAGTTGGGGTGTGTTGGAGGGGCGTGGGATGGGTTTGGCGCGGCGCCTACCAGTTTCCCATCAATAGTAGTCGCCTTCCAGCTCTCACAATTGGTGGAGCACGGGCTGGCGCCGCGTCAAGCCTAGCCTTCCCCCCACCGCCTGACAAGCTCCAGCGTCTGCAGCGATCGAGACTTTTTCCCTCAAGCGATCACTACTGGTAGAAAACGCAGCCGAGGGGGATCATCACCCCTATTGACACCGCCCCTACTCATTACTACTATATCAATCACAAGTTCAAAC